CTGCCATAGAACCTTCCTCCACTTTCCATATACTCCTCCTCCTCCTCACTCCCTTTTTCCAAAAGAACAAGAGACAGCCCAGACTGATCGGAATTCCATCTGTTGGGGAGCGGCCAAGTGACAGCGGAGAAATACAGGCATCTGGTCTCCATTTCTGTCAGGCTGGTGTTCCAGCTTACATCTTACAGCTGGGAGAGGATGAGGGAGAGGAGAGGGTGCTGGCAAGGGACTAGAAAGTGTGCTGGCACTCTCAGGCCTCTCGTCCATTTTTCACACATCACCCCACATCCTAACAGGAGATGTCCAAAAAGATGCACCCCACCCCCTCCCCCCATCGCAACACACACACAGACGCACACAAACACACACACACACACACACACACACACACACACACACACACACACACACACACACACACACACACACAAAAGCTCTCATCTGAACGACACAAGAAGAGAACACGGTTATCAGCAGTCAAGACTCGGACAACAGATCAGAACAAAAGCAAAAAGAACAAAGGATCATGTGAAGCCAGCAGGCTAAGACTTTGGCAGGCAGCACACTTTCAAACATGCACATGTGCATGTTCTTTTATTCCTATTTGTAAGTAAACTCCAAAATATTCTCTATTGATCATCATAGTCGCTCTATGAATCGCAGAGACTTTATTTATTAAATTAACCTTAAAACAAAATACTGCCTTATCGTTACTTTTTACATTCTCTAAATATGTGCAAGCACTATATTTAAAATGGTACATGTTTTATATTATTAGCACAAAATTGACAATACAATTTTTTTTTAAATAAAGAAAAACTGCTGTAAATAATAATATTGGGGTTTTACTGTTCATTTTATTATAGATGTAAAAATCATGTGTATATTCATATCTACATAGCCTTGCAATATTCTACTAGTATCAGCACTGCTCCAGCCTCTTCACCCGTAGATTTATCTTTTATTCTGCAGTCTACTAAAGATTTATCATCATTTTTGGTCAAATAAACATAAAACATTACAGTTTATGATAAGGTTTCAGGTGGTTGTTATTGCAGATAACAGGGCTGTCTGGAATAGTTGATTATGATTGGTCATTCGCAACAGCTAACAACTGCTGAAACTAATAACATAGGCTCATCCGGGTACCTGAAATTATCTTGACTGTCAGGGAATACGTTCACATCCATATACATACATCCAGATTCATATATCCTTGTCTGTCATGCCGCTTTTGACTGGATAATTTGTAGGTTTGTGTATGCATTATTAAGCAATTTTTCTGTCAACATTGCATTTTCTTTACTTTTTTTGCCATCTGGTGACTGAATAATACTCAGATTAATGTACTGTATGCTACATCACATCCATTCAGCTACATTTGTTTATGTCAGTTAAGCTTTTATTTAAATAATTAATAACTATATTCATAAAATGTTTTCTGTCTAATTCTTACGTTTTATGGCAATTAGCCATGTAAGCCAGTATGCCTGTCGGGCTTTATTCTGTAATAGCCTATTAATATTAGTTAATGTTTATATTAATACAATCTAATAAAGAACAGTACTTGTACAGCATTTATTAGTTCAAAATTTACTAATGCATTATTGTTAACTAGTGAATGCACTGTGTGTTAGCATAAGCTTACAATGAATGATTTTATTTTCATTAAAAAACATTAAATTAAGGACAAAATACATCCATGAGGTTGTTATAGAAGAATCTCCTTGATGTATTTACAGTATCCCGCTTATTACACGGCTATCACAAACCTTGGAAATTAGTCTCAAAACATTGTTTTGAGCCCTAATAATTTATTAAATCTTTAATTAAATGCAAAGCGGACAAAAACAGCTCATGACAACTTGCACATTATTTAGTCACAGGATGGCACCAAATTGTCAAACGCTAGGCTGACTGAAATCAAACTGACTGAATAAAGCATAGACTGACATCCGTATAATTCATTTACAAGACCGCGCCAAAAAGTCAAAAACTGCGGCGTGAAAGACTTGCTGATAAATATGAATGTGGATGTTATATGGTTTTAAATATATATTTAATGACAGTGACTCAAAGTTTCTGAATAAGCTTGCTTTATTTAGTGGTTGTTATCTCGGGACAACCATGAAATCTGGCAACTGACCAATCAGAATCGAGTATTCCAGCCAGCCCTGTGTAATGATTAATCCCTATATAAATTTCCTTCTAAAGGCGCACGCACACACACACACAGGTTTGATTATTTATTTGGAGTAACTAATAATGAGTAAAACAACACAGCATTCGAACAATCAAGTATATAATCAAGTATATAATCAAGTATATTTTACAGTACATTATTAACAGTACTAAGGATATAGATGACATCATCTTTTCCAAACATGCAAGCTTACTATTATTGCCGACACAGAGCTGTATTTGCCAATTAGTTTTAGGCTCTTTCTAGTAGTCAATCCGGCAATTTCTTGCACAAAGTCTATGAACAACAGGAGAGTGCTGTTGAAATCGTAATCTGATATTGTATTATCTGTCATTTTGTTAATGTGTGTGTTTATTCATTTTGCATTTGTGTTTATATGCATTTATTGTTAGATAAAATTATTTTATATTAAAAAATATAGTAATATTATTTATTTTATTAAGATATATTATAAGTGAACTATATTTTAAGATCAATGGCCATCTTTGGCCTTTCTAAAAAACATATTTCAGGGAATTTCAATTTACATGTGCAATAGGACTGCTGTACTTTAGTGAGATGAACAATATAATTATTTATATGAAATTATTAAAACACAGAGGAAAGACCTACACATATATGTTTCTCTCATATAACACAAAATTAAAGACATAACAAGAATTAGAGAAAGAGATAAATAGACTTAGAGAACATAAAGAAGAGAGAGAAATGCAACTGTATCTGATGTGCAGTGTGTCAACATTTCATGGCAAAATCACTGTTGTGTGTGTTTGTCAATGTGTGTGCGAGCGATCTAGCAGATGATAACTGCACCAGTGAAAAGTATGACAGGCAACGGGTTTGACTTCTGAGAGTGAGCGTTGTTGAATTATTATTGGTGACAGGTATGCTATCTAGGAGACAGCTCGACGGCAGACAGAAGGAAATGGAGAGAGCAAAGAGCAGAGGGGGATTATTCATAAACCACAAAGTTTAATAATGACCTATGAACTTTCTCAGTAAAGAACAGAACACATCACACTGTGGCACTGCCAGACACAAAATAGTCAAAACTGCAGCTGACTGATATTCTGTCACCCAAACATGACAAAATACTACGGTAAAAAAAAAAGTATTCCTAATTCAGTGTAATTTTAGGTGACTTAATTAAATGTGTTAATATTACAAGAAATGACATCTGCTCTACAAAAGTATACACAAACACAGTAGTGCACACATGCATTCATAAACCCTCACTCTGTGCATTTTCTTGTTCTCATTCTTCCTCTCTTCCACACCTCTTTTTTTCTCTTTTTTGCATTAAATATTTATGAGATTAGAATTAAGATTCCTGTGCACATGCTCCTGCTGGCACCTTCCGTGGGTTGTGACATCTTGTGTCAAGGCTCTGATTAACAATGTTCAACACTCTGCTTCTAGACTGACAGACAGATGAGGTCGAGAGGAGAGCGGGCAGGTAAATAACAAGAAAACAATTCCAAAAAGAAGAGGAGACACAGAACAGACAGTTTGGGAATGAGAGAGAGGCAGAGAGAGGGGGAGGAGAACATTCATTAGTGTGGTTGCAAGAGCTCAAGTGTTTTTTTCTTTGTCAGTCCTGAATCAGACGTTTACCTGCACTTTGTATAGAATAGATGCTGGGAAGTACAAAACATATTTGCCCAATAGCAGCTTTTGTTGGTATACTTTACAATAATTATAATAATAAACCATAGGCAAAGCATTAAACTGACTTACTGCATAATTTATTCATACTTGTAAATGTTAATCAGACTGAAATGCAGGTTTTGTATAATGTTACAAATATTATGAAATGTAATCATTTATTTGACTGTAATAAACTTTATACAGTTATTTATTAGGGCAGATGAGCTGGACATCATGGTTTAACAGCTATCTTGCACATACTAAGGGCAGTGTTTAGTCTAGTACTATTATGAGATCAGTATCAGATACCAACTCAGTTGTTTTTTAAGTTTATTTTCTTATATGTTTGCTAACTAAAACCTAATATTCGGAACATTATTAAACATGATAATTAAGTGTCTTGATTGGAAACCCATAAAAAGTTTTTTAATTAAAAAATTGCTGAATATATCAAATAGAGTAGTTAGTATTTTGCCATGTCGTTTTTAATGTCTGGGGGTTTTTCAAATAAGCCATCAGGGGTAGAGCAATGAGAAACACAAACAGACACCACAAATGACTGTTGAACAGTAAAAAAATACAGCCTTTCACAATTCCTTCCAGTCAAATGATGAGAGAAAAAGTGTGCGAGAGGGAGAGATTTACTCACAGAAGCCATTTCCTTGTACAAGGCCTCAAAACCGCCTTCAAGCTCAGCATGCTGTTCCACTTAGGCATGGTCTCCAAACCAAAGCCATCCACCTCGCTCTGCTATTGGCGTTGGACACACAAGGCTAACCACAAGCACATGTTCAGTTGCTCTTAACTAATTCATACAGGAACACTTTGGTTTTGTTGAGAACCCAAAAGCCCTGTACCTTTGATTAAGAAATGTGTCTGATTCCAATTAAAGAGCAAGAGGTGTGGGAAAACATCTTGGTGGTTCTAGTCAGTAACTGGCTTCAGTCGTGATGGTTCTATTTTCTTGCACTTTTATTTATTAACTTTTCATATCTTTTCTATTGTCCCTGGCAGAATAATAGGAAACCTTTTAGAAAATCCATTGCTTCATTGTATTGTTTACCTCACAATATATGAAGGGCACGCCTTTTTTGTGTTTTTATGATATCAGTTATGTTGTGAATAGAATCATGTTTTAGTTTTTAATTTACCTGTAATATGTAGCCTCTAACGTAGTCTCTCAGAGTCCAGCCCAAGCCATGAAGAATGTGTAGAACCTCTTCCTGTTTAAGGACACTGAACAGACGGTCCAGTAGGATCTTCAATCTCACAGGTACTGCCTGAGTCCCATACAGCATCAGACTGCTAATGTCAAACACCACATTGGACTGCACGATCTCCACCTGCGTCGGGTGGTACAAATGCTGTGTGCTCAGCTTGTCTAGTGCTATAATCACAAAAACAAGAACACACACAATTAGAGACTACATAAAAACCCATAAAGATTTATCATAAAGAATTTCATATTCATTATTCAATTTATAATGGCTTATGGATATGGCATATATATATATATATATTCATTCATTCATTCATTCATTCATTCATTTTCTTGTCGGCTTAGTCCCTTTATTAATTTGGGGTCGCCACAGTGGAATGAACCGCCAACTTATCCAGCAAGTTTTTACGCAGAAGATGCCTTTCCAGCCTTTACAGACACTTCGGACAATTTAGCCTACCCAATTCACCTGTACCGCATGTCTTTGGACTGTGGGGGAAACCAGAGTACCCGGAGGAAACCCACGCAAATGCAGGGAGAACATGCAAACTCCACACAGAAATGCCAACTGAGCCAAGGATCGAACCAGCGACCCAGCTACCTTCTTGCTGTGAAGCAAATGTGCTACTCACTGCGCCACTGCGTCGCCTATATATATATATAAATAATATTTGACTAGATATTTTTTCAAAACACTTCTATACAGCTTAAAGTGACTTTTAAAGGCTTAACTAGGATAAGTAGGTTAACTAGGCAGGTCAGGGTAATTTGTCAAGTTATTGTATAACAATGGTTTGTTCTGTAGACTATCGAAAAAAAAATATTGCTTTAAGGGGCTGATTATTTTGACCTTAAAATCGATTAAAAAAAATTAAGAACTGCTTTTACTCTAGCCAAAATAAAACAAATACGATTTTCTCCAGAGGAAAAATATATTATTAGAGATACATTCAAAATTTCCCCGCTCTGGTAAACGTCATTTGGAAAATATTTAAAAAACAAAACAAAAAAATTTGAAAAAAAGGGGAGCTAAAAATTCTGACTTCAACTATATATACATACACACACACACACACATATATATATATATATATATATATATATATATATATATATATATGATTTGGCATATGATGAGACTGAAATAGCCTACTCCAAAATATTTTCCCATATTTACTTAATTTAAAATTTATCATTTGAGTTTATGTATGCATGTATGTGTAGATACATATTGTACTGTATGAACACTTCACCATTTAAATATTTATTCATGTTTTACTGGAAGAACATTTACATGTGTAATATTATTTAGGTGTGTTAATAACTTTCATAACTTTTTTTGCCCACATTTTCAAAACTTTTCCTCTTTTTTTCAAAACTTGAAACCCTCTGATTTTGCAAAATGAAGCATTGCATTTAAAATATAACAAAACACATCTCAAATTGCAAACACCTAAGCCATAACTTTTTTTGATATATCATACACACATATTCATAACAAAGTATTTCTTGTGCTACTAAATGTACACGATATGTTTTCACGATATAGAGTCATAGACAGAGAAAGCAAGCAAAAGCAAGATTAAATCCAAACTACTTATTTATTTTAGTTATCATTACAGTTTTTCCTCATCGTAACAAGCATTGTGCAATACTGAAGTATCATTTTCAAAACGCTTCACACTGTGTGCATTGCCAAATGATGCTAAACTGCAGTTCAGCTTGCCTACAAAAGTCTCTCAAACCAGCACAACAGTTCATGTACACTTCAAAATAAGTTTGTTACACCATACCACTGACAACAATTCTCAAATTGTTCAAAAAACATACATTCCATTCATAACACAATTACCTAAAACACTAACAACAGGCAGCATTGCAGACTTTTTTTACAGAAACCTCTATTTTTGAAGTTTGAATGATTTTTTTTTATCTACACCAGTATATAATTTTACATTATTTACATTACATATTGGTTAAAATGTGTGATGAGAATAAAAAAATACTTGTGTTGCAAATGTAGTAGGCCTACTTTACAGCACAAGTGAAAACAACCACAGTTCCAATATTTAGAAACATTTACCAAACTGCAAGTTAAAGAGGCAAGCTTTGGTTGGTACATGTAGAAATTTAGATATTGATTGTATTGAGCTTATAAAATGACAAACACTTTGTCCTCCACGTACTCCTGCTTTCACTAATTATTAATCACCATTTATCACTCTTCTTTGCCTACTAACCTGTATTCCCAACAAAACTTTCCAAGGTATAGCTCTTTACAAAAAAAAAAATCCTTTCTAATAAAAAAAGGCATGCAATTTACAATCATTCTGTTTTGAAAAAGTTTTTAACAATTTTTAAGCAGGTATGTTAGCATTTGAAAAATTTATAGTTTTTGCAACTTGTAGAGACAAAACTGTTTGGTAATTTTATTGCATGAATTTTGTTTGAAATCAACAAAAGTGATTCACAGTTTGCCCCACATAGACTCCCGTTTGGCTGATTCAGTACTGCACAATGCTTTTTAATAGTATTATTATTGGTGGTTTATTCTGACCCCTGATAAATCAGGAACTAAGCATAAGAATAGTAAGAGATTTTTTTTAATGTACAGTATTTATTTTTGTGAATATAGTAATGCACAGTATAAAAAAAAAAAATCATATTCTCATGTTTGCACATGTGACCAGTGATGGTGAGCCACTGACGAGTTAGAGTTTGAAAAAGGACATCAATATGCTTAAAGTTTTTTATGTGTTACATAGAGAACTGTGTGTTATGTGTTACAAAGGGTGTTTTTTGAACAGTCAAAGGCTGATAGCTAGCATAAGGTCTGTTGTTTGAGTGTCAGGTTTTTTAAATTGTGTGTAAAGATTGTGTGTGTAAACAGATGACAATACTATAATAATAATAATAATAATAATAATAATAATAATAATAATATAGTTTGGCTTCAGTTTCACTTTTGTGATTTCAGTAAATTTTGTTTCAGCATCTCTCTGTATATTATTTTTAATCTTATACAAATATGTACATAGCTGAAGAAAGAAGAGTTATTTTATATAGATTGTATGATATATTTAAAAATATAAAGTGATGACAATGATGCTTGCTATGTAAGACAATGGGTGCTTTTGGGATGCTTTAGTGATGTTCTAAAGTGCTTCCTTCTGCAAGAATTTTTAATATGTTTTTTTTTTTTTGTTGTGGTTAATAGTTGTTGAAACCAAATTATTTATTTATTACTAGTCACAGTAGTGCATGTGGTTATGATCAAAGGGTAATGAAATAACTCTTTTATTTTAACTTAGCTCAAACACAAAGCTGGTAAGCACCCATAGTTGAAGTCAAAATTATTATCCATCCTGTTATATTCTTTTAAAATTATCTCTCAAGCATTGTCTAATGAAGAGGAGTTTTTTCAACACATTATTAAACATAATAGTTTTAATAACTCATTTCTTTTGTCTTTGCACTGATTATAGTACATGGTATTGCAACATATTTTTGAAGATACTAGTATTCAGCTTAAAGTGCAGTTATAGGCATAACTAGGTTATTATTTTAACTACGCAAGTTAAAATAATTAGAAAAGTTATTGAATAAGAGGCTTGTCCTGTAGACAATCAGGGTAAATGGAGATAACAGTGGCCCTTCACCAAAAGGAAGGAATACTGTAAAATTGCCTTGCTCTGTTAACCATCACTTAGGGAAAGTTTACAAAACGAATAAAACATTCACAGTGATGCGGTGGTGCAGTGGTTTGCACATTTGCCTCACAGCAAGAAGGTTGCTGGTTCTTGGCTGGGTAAGTTGCCATTTTTGTATGGAGTTAGCATGTTCTCCCCGTGTTTGCGTGCAGTTTCCTCTGGGTGCTCCGGTTTATATGGTGTTTTCCCATTTGTCCATAGTGTATGAGTGTGAATGAGTGTGTGTGGATGTTTCCCAGTGATGTGTTGCGGCTAGAAGGGCATCCACTGCATAAAACATATGCTGGATAAGGTGGTGGTTCATTCAGTTGTGGCAACTCCGGATTAACAAAAGAACTATGCCAAAAAGAAAATGATGAATGAATAAAACATTCACATGAGGGCTAATATTTTCTGTGTGAATGTTAAAAAACAAAACAAACAAAAAAACAACACTCCTGCAGACCGCAACACCTCTGTGAAGAAAGGACAGTGGGATCAAACCAATCGACTCCTCTTTCAACTCTCTCTCTCGTGCTGTCTGACTCTGTGTGACACCTGTTTTTTTTTTACTCCTTTAGTACAGGACTGATTTTTGTGCTGACTAGCTCTTTGCCTGAAAACAGACCTTGCTAGACACGAACATAATAAAAAATGAAGAACTACTTGTCAGAATGGCTGCCAACACTACAGACAAAATGAGAAGTCTATGGCAGAGAGGAGTGAAAAGAAGAGGAGGAGAGGAAAGATAGTGGCTGACAGTTCACAGTGAAATTAAAACTAGGCGAAGGGCCCCTGTGATGGTCCCTTTAGGCCTGTCTCTCTTCCTTTCATCCCAACCCAACAGGTGTTTTCTTTTGTCTCTCTATGAAACCAACTGTCTATTTCTTACTCTGTCTTTTCTTTTTTAACTCTATCCCTTTTGACTGTCATCTTTTTCATTTGATGTTTTCACTAGCACTTCAGCTACTTTTTGGCCTTTCTATGCCTTTTTATTTTTAATATAATTAAATATGAGGGGAAATAATTTTAATAGAATTATAAGTAAAGAGGCAGTTTAATGAAGAGTGATTGTTTAGCTAGTGATTGTTTAGAAACAGATAAATGGACAGATAAAGAGGGTAAGCCCATGACCCTCACATTTCATTGTATACTGAGCCACTTCAGGTTGACACTAAAGGCAAGACTGCACTTTAAACTAAAAACAAACAAGTGAAATATAATTTATAAATAAATATGCAGGTGGTATATGTAGGTTTTTGGTGAAGGTTTATTCATCTAAAATATACCGATTAAATTATTTTACAGTTTTTCTCCATTGCTGAAATACATAGCTTGAAGTGATGCCCCTTTTCTGAAAAGTTTTGAACTTTAGATTCTGTTGTATTTCATATTGTGGAACACAATTCAATCTTCAAAAATACAAACATCACTTACAAAAAATACTACTAAAACTGGTACGTTGTGTTGCTGATTACGTTACAGTAACTTGCAGACATAAATTTTTAGACAATCTGATACATTTTCTTTTTATACAATAGCCTACATGTATACATGCCTTAGGCCCCATTTACAATAGGTTTTAGTTTTAAAATGCATAAGTTTTGCTATGGTTATGCCTTCCGTCTACATTATCCTGGAGTTTTTGAGACCTTAAAACAGAGACTTTTGTGAGGCTGGCAACATTGGCTCCCTGATTGGGGCTTTTTCTCAATATAAAGTACACAATGTTAAAACTTTTCAAGTTTATAGGGGAAACGAAAGCCAGAGGATGCCACACATTGGGCACATTTTCAAATGTAAGGGGTGTGCACTTTTATAACGTCTTTCACATCACCCTGGCTACGTTTCATCTTAACAATCTTAACAATAATAATGAATACTGTCTATTTTAATTTTGATATTAACTTAAACATAACAAACACTAAAAATGTTAAGCCCTATATATTTATATAACCATGATCTTCACTGTATGCAAATTTATTTTAAAAAAAAATGGAGCCTAATAGTTAACATAACAGTTTCATTTTCATTGAAAATTATGGAACATTAGGCTTACTGTGGTTTTGGCAATACAAAATGATTATAAGAGAAAATGCATGGTGAAGCTATAAGAATAGCAATCTCTTCTTATCAGTTTTAATAATCAGTAATGGGCATTATAATAGTATAAAGTACAACTTTCAGGCCTATGGGAAATAAAGGTAAGTAATCAGTTTCACCTGAGAACAAGTAAGTAAATAGATTCAAAAGACAGGGTCATTAGATATACACAAGATAATTTTTAGATCACGTTTAACAACTATAAGGATATGAGATCCAGCAGCAGATTTTGGATGGACTGACCAATAAACGCTGCTCTCACCTGGGGAGGTGCCCGCAAATCTTCCACTTACTGCCTGGAGCTCAGATGGCCAAATACATGAGGACGCTGAAGCAAATTTCAGCGCATGTCAGAGTGTGGGTATGGTCATGTGATGTACGTTTAGTGTGGACGGAGAGCTTTTCAGAAACGCTAGAAATGCCAGTGTAGACTGGAGTGTGGAACGCCATTTTAAACTAAAACGCATCAGTGAAAACGGGGTCTTACAGTGGAGTACTGGAGAACTTCATTACTCATTCTTACCTTATTCATGAACAAGAACTACAGTTGAAGTCAGAATTATTTGTCCCCCTTTGAATTATTTTTTTTTTCTTTTTTTAAATATTTTCCAAATGGTGTTTAACAGAGCAAGGTAATTTTCACAGTATGTCTGATAAAAAAAAAATTTTCTTTTTGAGAAAGTCTTATTTGTTTTATTTTGGCTAAAATAAAAATAAAAACTTTATTTTTTAAAAACATTTTAAGGTCAAAATGATTAGCCCCTTTAAGCTATATTTTTATTCGATAGTCTAAAGAACAAACCATTGTTATACAATAACTTGCTTAGTTAAACTAAGTAACCTAATTAAGCCTTTAAATGTAACTATAAGCTGTATAGATGTGTCTTGAAAAATATCTAGTAAAATATTATTTACTGTCATGATGGCAAAGATAAAAGAAATCAGTTATTAGAGATGAGATACTAAAACTATTATGTTTAGAAATGTGTTGGAAAAAAAATCTTCTCTTCGATAAACAGAAATTGGGGAAAAAATAAACAGCGAGGCCTTAAATTCAGGGGGCTAATAATTTTGACTTCACAAGCTACAACTTGAACATCAGCTGCCACCTTGCAAACCTGCTGATAAGTGCAGCACAATTACTTGAAAACTTCAGTGTACCAAAAAGCACTGAATCTGTTCAGAAAAACATAAAGAGTGCAGTGTGTCACCAATTCTTGAAGCTAAAATAAATGATATAGGCTCTTTCTTATATTTGCTGAAAGTCCTGATTGATGAGTGTGATCTATTTTGACTCATAGTGTCCTATCATACACCTGACACAATATGTTGCAAGGCATGTAGGGCATGATTAGTTGTTGTTTTTTTGTTTTTGTTTTTTTATTTGCTGTTAGAACTAATTTTCACGTTTTCCACTGTGTTGTCTCAATAGCAAATCCATTTGTGTCATTTCGTGGACTTTCACAATATTAAAAAAAATATAAAAATTTAATAGCATCACAATGAAAGTGCACTCTCCAAAAAACACATAATATTTTATTCTTAAGAACATTTTATTTAATTATAGTCATTTTAAAAACTGAATAATTAGGCATTGGAATCAGAATGTGAAAATCCTAAATCCCATATCCTAAATAATAATAAATGTTAACAAATCACCACCTTCAAATTATAAAGTTCTGTCAGACAATTTTGTCAATATTGAGTTTTTCAAATATTCTTAATAAATAACAACTTATTTTCATACAGTATATATTCACTTATATTGCTCATTGCCCTTTTTCTTTTAAAATTTGACATTAAGCCTTGAAGTGCAAATGCTTAATTTAATTCATGGGGCATGTAATTCAATAAATATAATTCAATAATTCATATAAAGAATATAATTTAATAAAGATTACCATATTAATAACATAAAATTAACATCTGCACTGGACAAAATTTTAAGCACAGCCTTGTATACTTAATTTGAACAAGAAAAATATTCATCCTAAAACATTAAATGAATATTATAAAAAGTAAAAACTTTTGCAAACATCAACATATTGTTACAACACCATTTTTTTTCCCAATTAAATTAATAAGCAGACCGATTGTATTTCTTGAAAAGCTATGCTTCAGAACATTTAGTGGAATCTGTCATGTTAATGTATGAAAGAGAACTATTACACGCATATTGTTTGCTATGTGGAATGCAAAAAATTTTTAAGCTCAATTTCTTAAAATCATTTAGAATGCAGATGGAACCTTTTAATTCCAAAGAGACATATTAGGGCAAGGTAAAAAGTAACCGAGGCTGTATTTTCTGGTACCAGATCTATATTTAATTCTCGGATACCCACATAAAATAATTCCAATATAGGGAGATGTTGCATAATCAGCTAAAACATTGCTAGAACTGGTTTTTATGTATGGGTGATATATTATGCATGACCAAAACTAATTGAGGTCATGTCCAAGTGTTATTGTGACAGGCCTACTGGGTGTGCTGGTCTGAAAATGAGGTGTGTTAAGGTTCATTGTTGGCACGTTGACAATTTGAGGCAACTGAAATAGACCACGCAATTAACCAACTAAAAGCTGGTCTAAAGTCAATGGCGCAGAGTTTTTGTAATTTAAAGAGTGTGTTGGTTAGGCACCTTTGCGAGGGCCCAAAACACACATACACATTGCTCGATACACACGTACAGCAATACACAAATATCTTCATCTATGAAAACAATTAAAGGTTTAAAATGTTTTTTAAAAATTTTTTTTTCTATTTTCTACATAAATATGAAAACCACTACCTCCTTGCCTTCTTCACCTCGGGAGGCTTTGTAATTCAATTCTGTTGTAGTATTCATGACAATTTGCATTTGTATAATGTTATTATTAATAGTAGTATATATTATATGCAAATTTATATTCGTTTTAATAAAAACAAGCTTAGATTTGTCCACCTATCAGGTTTTGGAGATGTATGCACAACCATATGGAGCATAGGAAAAGGAATTGTATTTGAACATAGTTAAGAAAAAGTTTTAAAAGAAACCTTTAGGCTACACAAAGAAAGTTACTAAATTAGGCTAACAATGTCTTCAGTGGAGTGAGTTTCCACTGTTTCCTTACTCCACGAAAGTAAAGAAGAGTAAAGTAAAGAGTAAAAGTAAAGCAAAGGGAAAGTAAAGAGACCAAACAGAGGAGGCTCGTTCTTATCTTTGCGCTGCAGATGGTCTGTTTAACTGTTTTCTCATTGGTGAAGCATTCAGTTAATTTGCAATGTCCGCCATGTAAACAACAAATGTGCCATTGCATGACACACTGCCATTTAAAGGGAATAGGAGATGAGACTCTGGTTGGTTTACTGCACATTATGCTAAAAACACACCCATAACTCATAGGAGAAAGAGCACAACCATGTTAGACCATGCACCAGGGTGCAGACCATTTTTTTCCCATCCTTAAAATAGCAAAAATCGATTCGGACACACCCTTAATGATTTTGCACCTTGCGCTTTAGACTTTGCACTTAAATCGATAAAATAGAGCTCCTAGTGTTTTCACTTTGAACTGGTCAGTTAATTGAGTTCAAACTGGGCTGACTTAAGAGAATATTTTGTTTTTCTAAATGCCCAAACCTCGCAGAGAGACATGCAGGGATTTGTGTGTAGCGTTTTGCAGAAATTGTTCTGAATAATCTGACTCACGTGTCAAAGCGGGGAATAATGTTAATACATTAGAGAAGTGGGTGTGCTTTTTGAAAAACTTCATTTGAAATTTTAGTTTAAAAGTCTGCTTACAGTGTTTAAGCAAGCGAGAAATACTGTACTATTTTTCTGGCATACATTATTCACACGTATATATTTGTATAAACATCTGTATGCAATAAGACCAGGCTAGTTTTATACTGATACACTGACTAATACTCACCATGCGCTACCCATCCATGCTTGCACTGGTCACATGTCCGCAGGTGGATTTTGCCAGGCTGGAAACACTCACATGTGCAGTTTACCAGAGTACAGCGGATGGC